AGTTAGTTAGTAGAGAGAGAGAGAGAGAGAGAGAGAGAGAGAGAGAGAGAGAGAGAGAGAGAGGCATGCTTTTCCTATTACTAAATTGTTCGAATTACCCAGTGTTTTTCATATTGGATTTCACTCTGTGCTTGCTTGCATATCTTGTGGTCCGGAACTCGGAACTCGGAACTCACTATTTTTCATTAAAAGTGTTTTGGGTTTTTAATTGTGCATTAAAGGGGCAATATCATCATTAAGTGGTTTAAGCAAAATGACGATATAACTTTTGGAGCATTAAAACAATTTTTTTTATTGAAGATCTGAGCAATCAAGGGTAGCTAGCATCGTTATTTCCATTGGGATATGTGGCACTGAAAGTTTTCTATGGAAACCAGTGTACTGTTTTCCTGTACATAAAATTTGAAGCATAATGTGATCATTTCACTTGATTTAAGTTTCCCAAGTAAGATGGTTATTTTACCCCCTGCTGTCCAGTTTTAACAACCCCGAGCATTTAATTTTTTAATTTTTATTTTTTGAAAACATGTGTTATTCATTTTTAAAATTGAGCATACATATTTTGTTTTAGACTCTTATTTAAAAGCAGTTTGAATGTTCCATGCTTGAATCTAATGCGAAAAGGATGCCTATCATCAAGAGATCCAATACGTACTGTTCATCCTCCTAGAGCATCAACAAGCTTAACAGCATGCTGTTTAGAAAGCATCTCTAAGAAATTCACTTAAAAAAAATTCCCTATGGTTTTGGGGAAGGGATGATGTAGCATCCACACGTGCGGATGCTTGGAGGATGGTTAAAATTGAATATTACATAGATTATTTTTGTATCTTGTTGTGCTTTTTATATAGAAATTTTTGTTTACCTGAAATCTGGGGTTTATGTTCATTTTTATAAGGAAAAGTACATAAAGAAACCGTTTACTTTAGGTTCAAGGATGTCACAATTATTCTTGCCCATGTGATTTCAAATCTGAGTTGTTGTAAGAGTGCCATCGATTAGACTCAGAGTTTCAAAAAAAGATTTCTCGGACATCCCAAACCATCCAATTTGATATATAATGGCTATGAGTACTTGTAATCTTCTTGTATTAAAGATAATGCTGTCATAGTATGCAATCTTTTTTTATAAAAGGAATCAAATAAAAATAATAGTAATAAATTTTTAACAAAAAATATTTGACAAAAATGACTTTAGGGGTATTTTGGTTAATCTTTTATTCAAAATATTTTCTATTGTTTTATATGTTTCTCCTAATGAAAATGAACCTACATCCAAAAATTTCAGATAAATGTATTGTTTAAATAAAAATAAAAAACAAAATTAATTTTGGCCGTTCGATACGGCCTTGTTAAATTTGATCCGTTGGAAGGGGTGCTTGTGCATCAGACTTTTTTCTTTGAAGAAAGTTCAAACACAGTCCTATTCAAATCTATTTATCTTACAAAAATATTATAGAGATAGTTTTGGATTTACAAATCTATAATCTCAACTACCGCGAGCATAAAAAAGATGGGTGCGGTTTGTTTAGAGCTGAGGCTCTAAACAATCAAAGTAACGGACCTTCAGATAGTGTCGAGAATGTGGTCTCAATATTGGAAATCTTTGTAATAGTCTTAAAATATATTTTCATCTCTAATTAAAAAAATTTAAGCTTAAAAATAATGTAGATCGAGTCGATCTATGAAAACGTTAAAATCTTGAAAATTGTTGGTTAAAAAATGCATTATAAGATACATTATTTCTGAAACATAAAATGTTGGGTTTATGTGGCTTTTAAAGGCCTTATGAGTACTTGTAAAGTGAAATGATATAGTGGAACATGAATTCAGTGGGAGTGTGGTCTCTCGTGGACCGTACTAAGCAAACGATGGTTTGCTGATACTGATCTATGCGTAAGGATCTAGGCCAGTCGGTTGGGAAAAACCCATGTTACCTGGGCATGAAGAACAAATCGATGATGATTTATGATTTAGCCCTTGATGAGATTGGAGAACATGCCCGGATGAGTGAGTCGAGGGATTGTGTGACCCTTGTATGTGATGGTGGCCTACAGAGATAGGGGCTAAAACCTCATACATGTACCATCACACGGCATGCATATCGATAAATCGTTATCCATGCATACCGGACAGCTAAAAATCCACCTTATAGGGTGAAGCGTACGCATGTGCGAGAGATACCCTTATGCACTATATAGCTGTGGTCGTATAAGGTCTTGGTGACCTTGATTTGTCTCTAGGGGAGGACTTGAAATCCACTGACTGATATTGCGATCCCTTAGCTCATCCGCCGGACTTTGGTGACCCGTTAATGAGCCCCTGCTTGGACTGTGGGTCATGGAAAATACTGGATCGATCTGATAAAGCAAGTGTGGCCTGTAGTCTACAGTTGAGGGTGGAGTGCCCCGTGATTGTTGATTCCTAAACCATATGGATCATTTTCCCATCAAATTAATTTAATTGTATTTTTTTTATGATGGAAATTATTTTAAGATTATTATTTGAATTTTTTTGAACCTCTTGGATATTTTATTTATAATTTTTTGGATTTATAAAATTAAAGATATTGATTTTACAATTATTTAAATATTCAAATAATATTCTAAAATGTTTTATTAATTTTAAATATATAAAAATATCATGGGGGCCCATTTGTGCACATGAACCTGCAATATTTTTAGAAGGTGGGGCCCATGAGTGCCTTCCTTGGGTGGCACACCCCACCCTTATTCTCTTTCCTATTTTTTGGTGATATGACATGTGGCCATATGGTTGGAAGATATTGACTAAATATTGATTTGATACATCTTTGAAAGATTTTGTGGAAAGATTGAGTAAACTTGTGCTATTTTATGGTATGCACGATATTTTGATTAGATTTAATTTACTTAATTTCTATTGATGAGAAAATAGTTTAGGAACGTGGGATAATGGTTCATGCACATTCCATAATGTTGATGGGTCATTTATAGAATGGATGACTCAAAACTCTCACCCCACAAGTCACCCTTGATCGACGGTCTATATTCAATCTCATGAGAAGAGGCAAGCCAAAGAAAACCCTAAGAAACCCTAATCCTATTCAAAGCCTATGAAAAGAAATTGTCTCTACCAAAAAATCTCTACACTTTATCTTTCTATTTCTCTCTTTTAAGAAAGTTTTTCTCTCTCATGTTTGATCTCTCTCTCTTAAGAAAGTTTCTCTCTCTCATGTTTGATCTCTCTTTCCCACATTGTGAAAGAACCTAAGGGTTTAAGTTATGAAGTTCTTTTCTCTTATATATCTCAAGTATGGATTTATGGCTAAGGGTTTTAGGGTTTACCAAAGGGAATTCATCTCTTTCAAACTAGGTTGCTAAGAGAATTTACCTAGGGTTTGAGTTTGTGATCAAAGGGGTTCATGTTTTATTGGTGTGGCTTCGCCAAAATTTGCTTTCCCGGTTCGAGATTGAAGCTAGACCGTTGATCCCGTGCTATCGGATGGTGGTGACTCGGCATTGGGTGTAATAAGCCCAGTTGAGGTAATCTCCGACACTCTTCTTTTTGTTTATTACAATCTTGTCTTTTATTCTCATGCACAGTGCATAGTTGTTTCAATGGCATCAAGTTGTTAAGATATTGGTTTTATTATTATGTTGATTTTATTTTGAAATTTACCTTATTATAATAGAGACCACATGTAAGTGATCTTTTGCCAATAGAAAGGGGTGAAGAAAAAAAAAAATGTATTCCCCGATAAAAGATCACATAGGTTTTTCTTTCATTGGTATCAGAGCTATTGATACTTGATGCCATTAGTTATCTTTTCTCTTTATTGAGTTTAGATCAAGCTTGAAAATGAGATATAAGAAAGCTAATGACCTTTATGGTTAAGAAATACAACCACGGTTAAAATTATTAAAATATTCCAACACTGAAAATGCGCTCTGCATAATGAGTATTCTAGGCTATTTTGGAGTAGAGATATGAAGAATATAATGAGGTATTTTTCTATTGCATACTTCAGTGATATTTTGTGTCTTTCAGAGTAGGATCGACCTGAATAATTTCAGTAGGAGATCCCAAGGGAATTGAGAGTTATGGAATCATCAATGAAGGGTGTCATTTCTGACCTTGCAAAATCCAGGAACTGTCCATTGAGTTCCATGATTTTTCCCACCAATCATATAATTTTATTTCTTGCTGAAATTTTACTATAACTCACAAAATTGAGTCTACTTTTAAGAAAAAAAAAATTTCATCAAGAAAGTCCTTGTGGTTTGAAAGATATGATTAATTTA